TCCTCAGTACACGTCCTGCCTCAGACAGTCCTCAGTTTTGCCTACATGACATCCCGCCTACAAGCAGCCTTCAATTTCACCTACATTGCATTTGTCATGCCTACAAACTGCCTTCCGTTCTCAATACATAACAGCGACGTTTTACCAATGCATGATTTCTCACGCTGCCTCTTATTCAAAATTCACGTCAACTAGTCGTTGCATTGTTAAGCCTCTGAAATTAAAAGTTTATGTGGTATTCACTCGTTCATCATGCATTCATCATACATGTATTTTGGAAAAGAAGATTATGTAAGGTCGAGGAAGAAAGCAGGGTACCAGAGCGCAATCACTAGGACTTGGGGGATTGATCCTATAATAGAAATGGAATTAAAATACCAAAGCCTGCAACAAAATAGTAGTGGATCCCACGAAAGACGCATCTTAAAACAATATAACTGAAGGTAAACTATATAAAGGTGTATCGAACTAAAGCAGACGTACTCATTGATAACCCGTGATAAAGGAACTCAAAACTGCAGAACAGTAGGCCAAATCGATAATTGAGCGGGGAATACCTTTTACGGGCTGGGCCGTATTGGGGAAGGGACAGCGTGAAAGTTAAAACTCTGTTGAGCTTTTAGTAAAAAAAGGAATTCGGACAAGATCGATTAACCACACGTTTAGCTTTAGGATACGCTGTCTTAAACGATAAAGCCAAATTTAAATATGTGGTATTGTTTTTCGGAAAACGATCGAACCTGCTTAAGCATGTTTTTCCAGCAGGAAGAACTCCATCTACAAAGTGCTTGCTTTACTAAGGCTGTTTATTGGGCTTGACATAGTTGGTTGCATTGAACGAAATTATTTGAAAATCGAGCACAGATTAAAATTAAAACTCATAGCGGAAAGAGAGGTTAGCTGAATTATATCGCATACCCGTAGGTATTGAGATAATAAAGCCCGACATGGGAGCATTTTCGATGATTTCAAAGAAAACAGTGCTTTTACCGCATTGGAAAGATAAGCGGAAAAAGACAAGCAGTTCGCTCGAATTCCGCAACAAAAATCGGGAAGAATTAATCAGAGAAGCTAATAGAAAAGCTAGACAACTGCACAAGAAAACGACAAAAAGCGATTACTTTGAGAAGTAGAGTTTTACTAGACCGAAATTCGGACGCATTGTTCATGTGCACATTTTGTAACGATCCCAGGGGACTGAATGGGTTTGTTCGACTGAGGTGGAACTTGTTTACGCGCGAACCTGGATGAAGATGTGAAGCTCATGAGTGAGTGAAAATGACCGGTGCCCCTTCCTTTCAAATACCGATCCTTCCCACAGTCCCAGAATTAGCTCTATAAGGCGTTCTATACAGGCTCTCCTGTCTCCAACTGGCTCTTATCGTGCTTCCCCACAACTGGCTGAAACTATGCCCATCCAACGACTCCGGCTTCCATTCCTCTACCTGCAGTTGCAACGTGCTCTGTGCGGTTATATAGCTTGTTTGACAGTATCGCCTTCCTTCTGGACGCCGTAACTTGTCC